GGAGCCCTCTGGGCAGCCATAATTGAAGGGATTAAAGGATTAAATCCATGCTCTGCTTGATCTGCTCAGATAGCAGGGGCCACCAGGAAAGAACAAAATCCCTGCCTGCTCTCAACACCACAGGGACTCTCCACCCAGCCAAGGTCCAGGCCTCCCCAGCTGGCTGTGAAAGCTTGCTTCAGACTGGATTGGATGCACACAGGTGGTAAAGAGCACCACCTTCTCCATGATGGCTATTTTGTCAATGCTTCTGTATGGCTCTAGCACGTTGACAAACCAGTACTGTCGACCACAGACCTTCTACTACAGGGATCTCAGAACTTTGGGGAGAAAAGCTTACACTATTTGTCTTCTCAAGTCATTTGTTTTGGTAATTTGGGATGAAAAGATTTAAAGATGTGATATGGAGTGTGTGTGTGTAAGTGCATGAGAGATTGGATTGGAAGGATGGACTGATGGTTTAGCCTGCTGAGCATACATTTCCATTTGTTTGTTAACAACAACAACAAAAAGCCTACTGCCCATCTTTCTCCTGTGCAGCAGCTGGTGGGTGCAAACTGCCTACCTCACTGGCTAGCAGTCAAGTGCTTTCTCCACTGTGCCACCTGGGCTCCTATGGTCTGTAAAAAAAAAAAAATCTAATTTCTTATAAAGAACCACTGCACTTTCAAAGTGAATGGTTCAAGTGAGGCTGACCTTTCTCTCAGACACTCCAGAGGTGGTGTCTGTCTGAGGCCTGATTCTCCACCATCCCAGCCACTGTGATTGGCTTAAGTATGTCAGTCCATCCAGTCCAGCCCAGCCTTCTGTGGGACTCTCAGCAAGGAGGCGTGCTCTGTGTTGCTAGGGTTGCAAACCTGGTGGGACCTGGACCAGGTGTGCTAGTTAGTGTTCTCCACAGGAGAGAACCTACTTGGGCATGAAGCCAGCAGAGAACGCAGAGCTAAGATACAGGGGAAGCAACACTCACTCTGCTCTGGGCAAGTCCATTTTCCGTTTTGGTCAGTTTGAAGTAACGGCCACCTGTAACTCCCATTGTGCTGCCAAGAGTGATGCTGACAGTGCAGGCATAGAAGCCCCGAGTCAGCTGGAGGAAGGGCAGGGTTCCCAGCTTCTCTGTGAGCCCGAGGGAAGGAAAGGGAGAAGGAGCCGGGAAAGAGACAGGGTCCCCTCAGCCCAATGCCTCGACTGGGGATTCTTGCTTCATAGGATTAGACTTTGTTGAGAAGTCAATCTCAAGACTTCGGAAGCTTGTTTAATGAGGACAATAAGTATTCAACTAGCTCTTAATACCCCACATGATTTTGTATGTGGATATGTATTTCTGTATTTCATATGTAAATTTCCAGCAATTTGTCAATGCCTGGTGATTTTACCAAACTAAACAGAAGCTCGTGCAAATAAAATAGTCACTCTGAGGAAAACATGAGGTTCACTGTAGAAGCCCACTACTCTCCAGTGGCTCTGACTCACAGCAACCCTACAGGACAGCGTAGAACTGCCCCATAGAATTTCCAAGGCCACAATCTTTATGGGAGCAGACTGCCATCTTTTTCCCTGGCAGCAGCTGGTGGGTTCGAACTGCCAACCTGTATGTTAACAGATATGATAGTAATTTCCAGATGCTCATTAGCACATTGATGACTATTAATTTTTTATTCTAATTAATAGATTAAAATGGCACTTTCTTTCCATTTACTTCATTAGTCAAATGAGTTTTCTAATTAAGATTTACAACCTACAAATTTATAAACACTTGTGAATTCCTCTAAACATAGACTAGTAATGAGAGGCTGACTTGTCTAATAAGGGTCCTTATTACCCTCTCCTGGCTTGAGAATTTGGAGAAAAGTGGGTGGGGATGGACTAATTTCATTGCCTAGCAGTGTCTGAACTAAGTCTTCAGTTGAGTATATTCAAATTATCAAACTGCCATACATCAAGGCTACTCCTAATCTCATTTCCGCTCTCCATGCAATCCAACCCAAAAGGGACTCATGTCAGAGGGAGCAACATGTTCAGTGCTCATGGGTGATCATCACTGCTACTTGTGAAAAAAGAAAAGGCACGTTTCAGTTGGGACAAATGTAAAAATGGAACCTGACTTTGACATATAAAGGGACAGAGGTACAAACTGAGCCTGTGTTTGGACCCAGGAAACATCAGAGAGACAAATGCTGGTTTCTGATTATATACTAATTCGCAAAGGCATCGATAACATGTTCACAAGATCACTGACAGATCCAGCTGCCATCTAGATTCATGAAAGAAGTCAAACCACAAGAGGGGAAGAGAATTTTGCTGAACCAAGACCTCCCCACCACGGCTAGCATTTTTAACTAACATTTTAAAAGCACTTATTATGGGCAGCATTGCCCAGTGCACAGAGCACAGGCGGAGCAGAAGCACCAAACTCTTTGCTCTGAAGCAATACACCATTAATCGTTAAAGAGAAAAAAGGGAGGAAGGAAGCCCACAGTGGGGGGTAAGGGTGGTCAGATTGTGTTGGCTCCTGTTATATTTAATCTTACAATTTATTCGTCTTATTTTGAATGGTATATGACAGATTCATAAGCTTGTCCATGCTTGGGGTTGGTTTCTAATGGCTTTTCATCGGCCTGGACACTAGAACATGGATCCCGAAGACAAGGACTCCATTTGACGCACACTTACGTAGCTTACAATAAGGTTAAATGTCTCAGAATGGTTCAAAAATAACCGCTGGTACGCAAGCAAATGAGCCCCAGATGATAGGAAATGAAGCTTGGATAAGAAACTGCCCTTGTCAGGAAAAGGTGACCAGTAGGAAGACATAGTATGTCTGATTCATTCCTGGTGGACGAACAGTGGAGAGGGCAGGGACGGGCAGACACAGCCACAGGCGAGGGGGCTGTCGGGTACTAACTGGGTGTAGGAGAAGGAAGTCATCCCACAAGTGGAAAGAGAGAAATGGGTGGGGGTGGGGCAAATAAACTATTGAGGGAGGGTGTTGAAAAGTAGTTCCAACTGTTGAATCAAAATGTATGATCCGAAATGTAAAACACCCACCTAATTCATAATAACAATTTGTTTAAAAGAAACAAAGAGTGCTCACTTTGGTAGCACATACACTAAAAAATAAACAAAAAATGTGTCTAAAAAAATGCATGTGTAATTATAAGTCAACCTTTCTGATAAACTGCTACACGCTGGCACTGATACACTTTCTGTGAGACTTCAAAGCAGAGGTTTTCTTTAGGAAACGGTATAAAGGGGGCTTCACAATGTTCATGGGAAAATCCTATTATCTTCTACTTCCATTTCTCCACACACTTTGGAACCCCCTCATATTTCATTTTGGGCTGTGCTATAGCCTCTAGAAAAGAATTATGGGGCATTGTAATAGGAAAAACAAACAAACAAACAAACAAACCAGAGAGCTACTTAGCCACTCTCAGGGAGCACTGGGAAAGCTATCACTCTAGAGTCAGCTGCAGTCTCTGCTTGAAGCATTCTAACAGTGTGTGACAAAGTGATGGCCTTAACTTCTTGAGTCTTGGTCTCCTCATCAGGAAAATGGGAATAATCGGCTATTGTGAAAATTAAACAGGAAGTCATCTGTAAAGCATGTAGCATGCTGCTTTGCATAAACTTTTTAAAGCAAAATCATTCAGTAAAGATTACTTTCTACTGACAGTTTTTCTTTGTTTTTTTTAATCATTTTATTAGGGGCTCATACAACTCTTTTCACAATCCATACATACATCATTTGGGTCCAGCACATTCGTACCTATGTTGCCATCATCATTCTCAAAACACCCGCTTTCTACTTAAGCCCTTGGTATCAGCTCCTCATTTTTCCCCTCTCCCCCTGAACCCCAAACAAAAATACTGATTCCCTTAAAACAGCTTTGGTTATTTTCCAAAGCAGTCAACCACCAATCACTTTGCCAAGGAGGGACGGTTCTATGGATGGACAGGGCCATCGGTCTCACGGACCAGCATCTGAGGATCCTGGGGTCTGAGGCTTGGGTGGTCTTGCATTCTTCTCTCTGGGAGGTCTTACCTCATAGTAACTCTGGACAGCGTTCATGAAGGCTTCATCGGCCACAATCTGAGTTTCACCATTGAGGAAAGCCTGGAAGCGGTCCTTGACTGTTTGCAGCTGCTGTTTGCTGATCTGTAAGAATCAGAGAAAGAGAGGGCAGTTAGCACTTGGTCTGGTTAAAGATTATTTCTACTTTACACTGAAGGCATGCTGGAGCCAGCTTGTACAGGATCGAGCGCACTGATGGGTAAAGTTGCAGGAATTCTGTGGGCTGGTTATTAAAGGGGAACCCTGATGGTCTAGTGGGTTACACGTTGGGTGGCTAACCACAGGATCAGTTGTTCAAACCCACCAGCCACTGCTCAGGAGAAAGATGAGCTGTTTGTTCCCACAGAGATGCCAGACTAGGAAACACAAAGGGACCGCTCCACTCTGTCTTCCATGGTCGCTACGAGTTGAAATTAACTACATGGTAGTGAGTTTGGGTTTAGATTGGCTGCTAAGCACAGCCTTGCTTTTTTTTCATTTTATATAAATTTCAGATTAAAAACAATGGTAACACGTGCTCCAAATTCACGGCATCCTGATGATTTATCTCATTTTACTCTTCTCTGTCCTCCTACGGTTATCTACGTCTGTGTTATTGGTATGGTGTCTGTGGCGGGCTACTGCACATCTTTTCTCCACTCCATTTTCAGTGATGTCTCATTGGCAGGGTGCTGGCAGAGATTACAGTATTATGGCAAAGCCACAGGCAAATGCAACACATAAGGTGTTTTGTTGTTGTTTAGGGATAGTTGTGAGACATTTACAAGAGACACCCACTAGATAGGGCGGCCCCTCTGGTGGTTTAAAATACCCCACTTGAAGGGCATCAAACTCTTTTGCTACTGGTACCCTAAGATTTAGATACAAGTCACAATTCTGGGGGATGGCGTAGATCATTTTGGGATTTTGGTTATGTTCAATTTCCTGTTTGTACCAGCCCATCCCTGCCTTTCCCTTCCACGCAGAAAAACATCTCTACAAAAGTCTCCATCTCAACATGAGCACGTGATGGCAAGAGCCTATCCCAAGCCCTAGCCTCTGCTGCGGCTTCCTTTCATGTGATTCTGCAGCGCATGCTTACTTTTCACTACTTGTTAGTTGTGATTACGTTAGTTAATAATTCATCTCTTCTTCCTGTTTTGTTCATCAGTGGTTCCCCTGGGCCCTGCTTAATGCCTTATATAGGCAGGTGCTCGATAAATGCTTTTTAAATGAATGAATACATGAAGTTTACGATGGGCATGTTATTTGAGGATACTCTTACGTCAGTTCTCATTGATAGAGAAAAAGTCAGTCCCAACTTGTGTCACTTTAAACGCTCTTTGTAAAAAGCTATCCTTCCTACTCGATGATCAAACAGTGTGCCTGAGAACTGCTGCCTTAGGAGTGAGGGCGAGATCATTTCAGACGCACTCCTGTTGATCACTGAGTTGTTTGCGAAAGCCACTGCTGTGCTCTGGGCCAGCCAAGAACAAAGAGCTTTTCAGAAACAGGGCCAGCTTTTTAGAAACAACTGTTACCTCATTCTCAGTTTTCACTTCCCATCTGAAATCTGGTGGTTATTCTAATTACCCACTGCCTCCGGATGGTGCGATTGTTGTCTGTTTGTTTTTTTTTGTCTGTTTGTTTTTTAATGTCAACTCAGTTAGGTTACAATTTCCAGTGGTTTGGCGAAAGACTAGTCTAGTGCTATCCCATAATGTAATCGAATATAAATTATCATGTTATGCTCCATCATGTAATCTAATCAATCAGTCATGTGAGGTTAGGTTAGTGTAGAAAGAATCCTAAGCATAATTACTTTTGAGTTACAAGAAGACAAGACTAGGCACAAGGAACACACACATATGAGAGAGGACAGAAGCCATGCCAGGGCCGTCAAGAAACCAAGGAAGACCCAGGAAGTGAAACACAGGTACTCTGATTTAGATAGAGTATTAGCCCTGAGAACTGTGGAAGAAGTAACTTTCTGTTCTTTCTTTCTGTTCTTTAAACCGCTTACTTGTGGTATTTGTGGTATAGAAGCATTAGGTAACTAATACGGTTGGTTATGGTTATCCAACACACCTGAGTTTGGTGAGTTGCTAAGTACATTTTTATTATTGAATAATAATAATTAATATTATTAGAATGTGTTTTGTTATTAGAGACAATACAAGTCTTACTGTAGGAAATAAAGCTACAGGATCTTCAAGTCTCCTTGTCTTTTTGTCTCCTAATCATGAAAACCAACCCAAAACAGTATTCCAAAAATAGGCATGGATGAGCACTTGGGTGCTTCAGCTAATTTTATGATTTGGGGTGCTGTGAATGAATAATGGAGTCAGGGATTGATATGAGAGATTTGGCTTTTACCAGATTCTTGTCTGTTACTGGGGAGGGGGTAAAAAAAACTGCTGTGAGGCTACATCTGACCCACTTCAACATTTAAGCAGGGAGGAGGGGAAGCCCCACCCTCAGTATCAGTTGCCCAAGCTGTCTCCTGGGTGGGAGAATTCAGGCAGGCCTCCAACCTTCTCTATTAAGCCTGACCCCAACGGTCCCTCCCAAGGGGCTCTGCTTCTCTGCTGGGCTCCACAGTGCCCTGCAATGGCCCCATGCAGCTCCGTGGCTCTCCATGGAGCGGGCAAGCCTGGACCACAGAGCGCTCACTTGCAGCGTTATCCTTTGCTGTTCCGACCCAGGGTTGTGAGTATCAGGGGAGTTGCAATGAAAATCAACAGTTACTTTGTATGCACTTGAAACCACTTACAATAAAATATGAGAGAGCAATTGATTTGCTCATAAAAATGACACCATAACATGAATTTCTTTTAAACTGGCCTAAATAAAAACCCTAACCACACTGAGCCAAAGCCGCTCACTGAATCCTTTGCTCAGAGAGCCTCCCAAAGTAAGTCCATACCAGGTGGGTGGTAAGATTTTATGCCAACTTGAAGGTACCTGTGAAGAGGAGGTGCAAGTGGAGTCCAAATGGTCAAAGAGGCGGCAGCATGGTGATGCCTCTTTGGGAGTGTGGCCTTTTGGTAGAGAGGCAGTGAGAATGTCTCTCTGACCCTTTGCCCTCCTGCTTGCATGGATCTATGTCTGCCTCTAGAGGGGGTTGGGGGGTGAGGGAGGCATGTGGGCCACCAATCTCGGAGGAGCTGTGGGTGCCTTGTCATTTTCCCACCGACCTTGGAGAGGCACGGTTCTGGAACCATCGGCTTGTGTTCATCATGCTTACAGCTTGACCTTTGTGCCCCCTGCAGCGATGGGAGTCTGGAAAGGGCTCCGGCTAGCATCAGAGCCCCAGACAGGAGTGGGACTGGGCTGGGCTGCTTCTCCATGTAAATGACTTCTCCATGTAAAGCTCTTTCTTATACAGATCTGAGTGTCCTGGGTTTGTTTCTCTAGACAACCAAGCCTAGCACACCACATTTCTGTGATTTGGGGAGAGTAGGGTGGAAAGGCACAAGATCGTTTTATGTTTTCCTTAAGTGCTTAAGTAATTGAAGTAAAGTTAGGGGCCCTATGACAATCAATTGAAATAGATTGTTGGCCTTGACCAAATCCATTATTTCTTTTAGAAATGAGCATCATATTAATTATCAGTTTTACATATTAATGATCACTTTTACATAGTACCTACCATCTGTGTCTTTATGTATGCATATATGTCTGTGTCTTCTTGAAGTGGCCTATTAAGGTGCAGTGCCCCCCACCTCCTGCTCCATACAGAGGAAAGAATGATGAAAATAGAAGAAATATGGATACAATTAGTCCAGTGGAGTCATGGACCACATGAACATCAGCCTCTACAACCCAAAGACAAGAACTAGATGGTCCCCAGCTACCACTAAAAACCACTTGAAAAGGGACCACATTAGAAGATCCTGGATAGAGTGGGAGACAAATATGGAACAAAACTTAAAATCATAAAAGAGACCAGGCTTACTCGTTGGATAGAGACTGGTGGAATTCCCAAGACCAAGGTATTTAATTTCTATTTGGTCACCCTGGAGATCTGAAAGGGAACTCTCCTCTATGGCTCATTTTTCAAGCAAACAATAGTCAGATCTTTCAGGGAAGCAACACTAGTGAGGTGTGCATACCTTTAAATAGTCAACCATCTGTGATCAGAGGAGAAGCATTTGTCAAAGGACAAGTTTTATGTCTCAAATATGTGCAGATCTTCCTTAGCTGAGAGCTTCTGCCCTGTTCTCTCCTTTCTGGATACTCTCCCTTGTTCTCCCCATGGCTGCCACCTCCTCCTCCTGAGGGATCAGCCTACCCAGCACTGCGAGGGAGCCACACCCCTTTCATGCCAGGGGCGTTATGCATTTCCTTCTCCTAGCCAGCACTTATCTTCTGGAAAAGCCATTCATTTAATTGAATTGTCCTTTGCATACATAAAAATATACAGGTCATCTATCCAGCTAATGCTGGAGGAATCTTCCCAAAGTGACCTTTCCCATGTAACGGACTCTCATCTCAAGACAAAGACATCACTAACAGCATCTGCATGTTCTCAAAGTCATTGTCCCACTCTGAAGGCAACCACCAGCCTGGTTTCTGTCACCATCAAATAGTTTTGCCTGCTTTCAAACTTGAATTTCAGTGCAGCCGTTAACTGTTCTGCATGTACTCTTGTGTTTGCTGTCTTTCCCTCAGCATTACATTGACAAGGTTCATCCACATGGCCGGAGTAGCAAAAATTTGTTCACCCTTATTGCTGAGTAGTAAGTAGTCCATTATTAATTCCATCACCATGAACCTACTCTGCAACTGAAGGACATTTGGATCTTTCTGTCTGAATGTGGTTTTCATTATCTATCTCCCCGCACATATGTTTCACAAATACAAGAACCATGCATGTCTTGTTTACTGCTATGCTTTCATTTGTCTGGCAGATGATGTACCCCAAACAAATATCTGTTGAATGGATGATCTTACTTTGTGCACCAGGCACAGTGCTAGGCTCTGAGGGCATGAAATGAGGTAAGGTACCACCTTAACCCTCCAATTTCTTAATGCTTGTTTTGATGCTGTACATTTATCTGTCTTTAATTCCTTAGCACCCATTTTCTAACTGTATAAG